CTGTTGTTGTCCTGAGCCTTCAGAGCCGATCACAACAAGCCCCAATATGCGGATTCGCTCCAATAAAGACGCTTTTCTTTGCGTAACGTGCCAGCTACGGGTACGCGCAGCGCTTACTTACATGCACGCGCATATGTCATCAATTCTGCATGCTCTGGAAGAATAAAAGGCTACCTCTTGCACGCTACCAGTGTTAAACCAGACCGGGCAGTGGGTATAAGGGGAATTATCCTGACTAGGATCAGAAATCGGTGGCTGTGTCCTGGTTTTAATGGCTCCGGTCCGCGAAGGCAGCACGATCTCACCTATCTAACGACCCCGTGCTCGTGGAGGCGACGTTTCGCTCGCGCTGGCATCGCAGGTCAAACAGCGCGAGGAGCTCACACGCAGACATCCAAAGACGAACCCACCCCCCCCTCCCAAAAAAAAAGCCAAAATTTAGAGGAAGCGGCTGGAAACAGGGGCACGGAGCTCAGTTGTCCGCGTCCGTCCGTGTGCGCGCGGCCCCTCAGAGGATGCTGCGGATGCACTGCGGAAAAACGGCAGTGCGCGTGAGTCCGCGCAGGTGCTGCCAGCCTGCGCGTGACAGATGCTCCGGTTTCCTGTCACTGACCCACACCGCCCATCCGGCTCGTGAAACGTCCACAGAACCCCCACTTTTATCCAGAGCCCGGTTAATTTACAATAATAGGCCCCAATTGTGGGAGGTGGGTTATTTTAGGGGGAGCTGCCCCTTTAAATGCACCCCGGAGAGAGGGGGTTACATCCGGTTATGGCACTTTGTTGTCAACATATTCTGTATTATTAACTGTAGTAACTAATAATAACCAGCAGAATTAGTTTTTAAGGCTTTAACGCCAGTAAAAGGTGACAAAAAAATGTTTTTAAACCTCCGAATTGGTAGATGTCGTCGTGATGCGTTTGATGACACTCTGAAACTCGGAATTTCCTGTACCAGACACTGATACGTTAGATAAAACGCCCGAAAGAAGTAACATTCACTCATAAACGAGCTGTGTTTTCAGCCCCGATCTGTTGTTGGAAATTTGTGTAAACTCAGCTAAATATCTGTTCGGGTGTGTTCACAGAGCATTAATAAAATGCATTTTTAGTCGATATTTTGCTTATTTATTATTTATATAATTTCGGTAATATACCAACTCTTTCCTAACATTTATTTCCAATAGTAGTGTAACATATAAGATTTATAGGCACAGAAATTTGAGAATAAAATTGGACGTTAGACGAAATTACGTGATTTCGACTTGGAGCTTTTCCACCTCCAATGTACATCGAATGCAGCATGAGCTAGCTTGATGTAGTTTTTGTGTCCGGAAACGAGAATTTACGATGTTTTGCTGCAACTAGAAAGCAGAATCTCCTCCAAAAGTAGAAGTCGACACTTTAAAGGTAAAGTAACCCAGTTAAGGTGAGGTAGCTAAGCTAGGTGCCAACGGCTAAGGCACTGGTTAGCTAAAGGACCAGTTAGCATGATCCAGGAAGTGGGAACACAGGGACGAAGCAAACTGCCAGGGAACCGAAAACTGGGAAGAAATTTCACCAGGACCATTTCTAGACCCAAATTTTACGATGCATTTCTCATTAAATGCTCCTAAAAGTGTATACGTTTATCAAAAATGTATCATATTTTGAAGCTAACGCTAGCTAAGGTGCAAGCTCCAGACACTAAATTAAATCCAAGTCTTAGTCTATTTTATTTGTCATCAAAGGTTTAAATGAGTTCATTTTTCAGTTGTTTACAATAAAATTGTTGTGCAAAATAACATGTTCATATTTAGAGGAGCATTAAAACTAGATGCTTTGTTTACATAGTTTTACATCAGACATTCAGCCATATGAATAAATGTTAGATTTACAAGGTTTAGTATATCGGAACATAACAGATAATTCGGTTTTTGGAAGGTAAAAACACAATGTGTAAAAACATTGTTTATCTCCACTGACATTACTTAAAGAACTAAACCTGAGCCAAAACAAACCCAAGCATGATGTTTTCTGCAGGTTAAAAAGAAATCTGCCTGTTTGTGTTCCAAACCAAACCCGCTATCTGCTGTTATTGCATATTCTGAAACCTAAATTTAAAGTGAAATCAGACCAGAACAGACACACATTAGGAGTAATTAATAATTGTCCCTTAAAGCTAAATAAATCTCACAGGGTCGTGATGAGTTGATATTTGATGCCACAGAGGATAAATGCTAACCCCAGACCTCCCTTCCTGTGGCCATGCAGGCGTGAGCATGGATCCGGCCTGCTGTGACTCTGCCGAGGCTCCGGCCGCCCTGGTGGTCCAGGTGTGCTTTCCTGGGGCTCGCGCGGCTGTTCTGGACAACCTGAACCGGCAGCGGGAGGAGGGCCGGCTGTGCGACCTGTCCATCCAGGTGCAGGGCCGCGTGTTCAGGGCCCACCGCTGCGTGCTGGCCGCCTCCTCGCCCTACTTCCACGACCAGGTGGGGCGCCTCACACAAACCAAGCCACGCTTCCTGCACACTGCAGCCTGTTTAAAGCCGCTTTATGTCTTAAAACACACCTGGTGTTAGTGCTGCGTAACCGGGGCAAAACAAGAGCTTTTCTCCCTTTTTCTTAAGTTGTTTATGACAATTGTTGTCCAAAAAAGAGTTTAGGTACTTTCTAAAATGCCTTTAAGAGAAAGAATTCTGGAGTCCTGAGGTCATGTGATCTGACACGCCGTCAGGTCACATGACACCTTTCTGACGGCGTCTCAGGTCACATGACGGCATCTTAGGTCACATGACACCTTCCTGATGCTGCTCAGGTCACATGACGCCTTCTTGATGCTGCTCAGGTCACATGATGCTGCTCAGGTCACATGACAGCATCTCAGGTCACACAACGCTTTCATGACAGCATCTCAGGTCACATGGGCTGGTCTCAGGTCACATGACACCTTCCTGACGCTGCTCGCCGTCCCGCCAGGTGCTGCTGAAGGACGTGGCGGCGGTGGCGCTGCCCTCGGTGCTGGACCCGCTGGCCTTCGAGAGCGTGCTGCGCGCGGCCTACACGGGCCGGCTGAGCGTGGTGCGGGACGAGGTGGTCCACTACGTGACGGTGGCCAGCTTCCTCCAGATGTGGCACATCGTGGACAAGTGCACCGAGATCCTGAAGAAGCCCCGCCCCCCGCCGCCGGGCCCCGCCCCCCGCCAGCCCTCCCCCAGCAGCACCGACAGCCCCGAGCGGGGGGGCAGGAGGCGGGACCGGAGGACACACGCCCTGCCGCCGCTCGCCACGTGGCGCCGGCCACAACAGCCGGCGCGCTGGGGGCGCCATCGGGCCTCGCCGGCCCCCCAGGACCCGGCCGACTCGCAGCTGGACGGCCCCCCCAGCTACCAGTACGGCTGTGGGGAGGCCTGGGCGGCGCCGGAGGGGGCGGGGCCTAGTGGCGGCGGCGGGGAGGCCGTGAAGCAGAGAGCCCGGTTCCAGCAGAGAACTGGACCCACCGAGACCGAAGCCGATGAAGGAGTCGGGGACCAGGAGGCGACCAGGAGGGGGGGCCTGGCCCACCCGGCCCGATCCGGTAGGTCCACAGAACCGAACCGGCTCCAAGAGGGGGGGGAAGCTGTTCAGAACCAGGTCAGAGCCAGGCCTGAACTGGGTCTGAACCAGGTCTGAACCGGGTCAGAACCAGTTTAGAAGAACGCCTGCCTGAATCAAGTCTGAACCGGGTCCAAACCAGGTCTGATTCAGGCCTGAACCAGGTCTGAACTGGGTCTAAACCAGGTCTAAACCAGGTCTAAACCAGGTCTGATTCAGGCCTGAACTGGGTCTAAACCAGGTCTGATTCAGGCCTGAACCAGGTCTGATTCTGGTCTGACCCTGGTCTGGTTCTCGTTCTGTCCAGCAGCTCTGGCCCCGGCTCCATCAGACGAGGAGGTGATGAAGCAGAGGGCTCAGAGGGGGGAGGCCGGGGGGGGCGGCTACCCGGGCCCGTCGGGTCTGGCCTCGGCCCGGTTCCAGTGGCAGGCGGGCTCCTGGACCCAGCAGGATCTGGCAGCCCAGGACACAGCGGGGGCCCCCGGCTGGAAGGAGGAAGAGGAGGAGGAGGAAGACGAGGAAGAGGACGTCTTTGAGTGTTTCTCATTTGAAGCCGATGGGCCAGAACCCCCCTGGTCCCCCAGAGGGGTCCAGGGGGGCTGTGGGGGGGTCCAGGGGGGTTCTGGAGGGACCCAGGGGGGCTGTGGAGGAGTTCAAGGGGGGTGTAGGACTCCCAGCTCTAGTGTGACCCAGGGGGGCTGTGGAGGGGCTATGGGCAGCTCTGGGGGGGTCCAAGGGGGTTCTGGAGGGGCCCAGGGGGGCTGTGGAGGGGTTCAAGGGGGTTCTGGAGGGGCTCCGGGGGGCTGTGGGGCCCAGGGAGTTTCTGGAGGGAACCAAGGTGTTTCTGGAGGGAACCAGGGGGGCTGTGGAGGGGTTCAAGGGGGCTGTGGAGGGGTTCAAGGAGGCTGTGGGGCCCACAGGGTTTCTGGAGGGACCCAGGGGGTTTCTGGAGGGAACCAGGGGGGGTGTGGGGGGACCCAGGGGGGTTCTGGAGGCTCCCCAGAGGGCTGTGGGGCTCCTTCCTCCAGCCGCCAGCCCTCCCCCCCATCCTGCCCCTCGCCGCCCACGCCGTCCTCCTCGTCCTGGGCGTCGCCGGCGCCCCCCCCGGGGAAGCTGCACCGGTGCCACTGCGGCAAGGCCTACGCGCTGAAGAGCATGCGCGACCGCCACGTGAAGATGGCGCACCTGAACCTGCGGCCCTTCGGCTGCCCCGTCTGCTCCAAGTCCTTCAAGATGAAGCACCACCTGACCAAGCACCTGCGCACGCACGGCGGCCTGCGGCCCTACGAGTGCAGCCTGTGTGGGAAGAAGGTGGTCTGGAGGGACAGCTTCCTGAGGCACCAGGCCAGATGTCAGCGGTTGGCCGGCGCCGCCAAGGCCACCGCCGCCCCCCCGCCGCAGGACGGCTACGGCTACGGCTTCCCCCAGGGGGGGGCCTTCCCCCCGGCCGGGCAGGTGAAGGTGGAGGAGGTGGACTTCCACAGGGAGATGGGCGGGCTGCTGGACAGCGTCTCTGGGATGGTGGAGGACTCGCACAGTCTGGACGCCGGCGGCCATGTTTTCAAAGAGGAGGCCTCAGAGAGCTTTGGCGGAAGCTAGAAGAGCAGAGCAGCAGGAAGCAGCAGCAAAGATGAAGGAATCTGCTACCGAAAGATGCAGGAAGCTGCTGAAACATGTAGGAAGCTGCAGGAAGATGCGTAAAGATGCAGGAAGCTGCTACCGAAAGATGCAGCAGAAAGATGCAGGAAGCTGCGGTAAACTGCAAGAAGATGCGTAAAAATGCAGAAAGATGCAGGTAGCAGCAAAGAGATGCAGGAAGATGCGTAAAGATGCAGGAAGGTCAACGTTTCTGGTTAAAAACAAACACATAACAGCCTTAAACTTCAGATTCTGATCAGTTTAACCAACATTAAAGGTTAAACTTAATTTGGGCTACAGAGTTTTAGCATCACAGGAAAACACAGAGTTCCTCTGCTGCTCATTCAGGGACAAACTGCCCTCTGGGGGAGGCGAGAGTGGGAGTTCAAAACTCGATGCTGTGAGTTTATACTTTGAGAATGAATTAAATTTGCATTTTGCACATAAATGAAAACTAAAATCACTGAACAGAAATGTTTGTCTTTTGTGCTCTGTTGTCTTTTTCTAGGAAACCGAAAATAATCCAGAATTGATTTAAACTATCTGCTGAGTCATGGCTTCACACTACCTGACATTATCTTTTCTTTTAGCTAACTTTTGACATGCACAGACACACTTTTGTTTGGAAGTAGGAGGACATGGATGAAACACACATCAGATCAAGGAAATTAAGTTTAAAAAATCCCCAGCTTTTTTAATCTTTGCTTTTCACTTTGCTAACTGGAAGCTGTGTAACTTTCTGTCCTACTGAAGATTTATATGTGTGTGTGTCTGTGTGTGTTTGTGCTGCTGGTTGACAACAGAAACAGAAATAAACACAAAAGAATCACCTTTGGAAATATTTAATAACTCTGAACTAATGAGACGTAAGTTATTTATCGGTTAGGCTGTACATTAAAACAAGAGTTGTACAGAAAGAGGAAACAACAGTGGGTCAGGACTTCAGAGGAAATGTATTTACAGTACTTTTCTGTTAAAGACAGCACATAAAGAGATCACAATGAGAAACGTTTGGATCCGACACACTCGCTCACAGCACTGTGCTCCTCACACCATCTGGCTGCTTCTGCCTGAATCCTTTAAACCACTTACGATCAAACCATCGACTAAACAAACCCTGTCATCGGCCAAATGCAACACAAATCACATTAAAACTTAATCTAAGAGGCAAACAAATGAAAATGCAAAACATCAAACGAGAAAAAAGGGAGGAAAGACGGCGGATCGGTTCTTAGTTTTCGGGACATTTCCGGTTACGCAACAGTGCATTTGAAAAGGGCCGTTTATTTTCTGATAGACTGGCATCGTTCATTAATAACAGAGGTTTAATGAAACCCAAACAGCACGTCGAAGCTTTTTGGACCCTTTTCTGTCTGGAAACACCAGCAGTTTGCTGCGCGAGCATCCTTTAAGCATCACTTTGGCGACGGCAGACAGTAGAGACACAAACCCCAGACGGCAGACACTAGCACCATCGGACAAAAAGGCAGTTTTTACAGTCGGAGATCCTTCGAAAACCTCGTAAAAAACGACGAAAACAGCTGGATGGTTAGCAGGAAAACGGGCGTTCCTGCAGAGAGGAGGACAGACGGTGGTGTCTGTCTGTCTGAAGAACAGGAGGTTTGTGTTAGTGGGTTAAGGCGCAGCAGGGGAGTCCTCCACAGGCGGAGCTTCCTCCCCTGCTTTGCCCTCTGGGCCCATCTGTGGTGGATCTGTGCTCTGGTCCTCAGAAGATGGTGCTCCAGCGTTTTGGGGGTGGACGGGACTTGGCTTCTCCCTGGAGACAACAAGGACAAACAGGTTTGAATCCCCGGCAGAAAGATGGAGGGTGAGGAGCTGATTGTCGAGCACTCGACGCGCACTGTGAAGAAACCGGAGAGAGCAGAGGTAGGTGGTGCTTCCAGGGAGTTGTCAGTGGGCATTTTGGGTTTAGGTTTGGATGGAAATGGAGCTTTTTTAGCTGGTTAGTTCGTTATATAGTGATCCCTCGCTACTTTGCGGTTCAAATTTCGCTATGTTGCATTATTTCAATAATATAAATGTAAAATATTATCGTTGTATTTTCACTTTTTTACCATTTTTTGCCGTCCACATGTGTAGCACGTGTTGAACAGTACTGTATGTATTTGATGAATTTTGCAGTATATTACAAATATTTCACTCTAAAACTAAAATAATCCAGTCCAGAAGTGAGTAAATAACCATTAACCTTGTGGATGAACACACTGCGGCCTCTTGAGATGCCATTGGTGAGATTTTACACAACACCTGATTAGTTGACTAATGGAAGCGACCAACCAAAGAACGCTAAATGAACATTTAAGGTGTGTTTTAAAAGAAACAGGTGCAGTGGGAAGGTGTTATGTAGAGTAGAAGGGTGTGGGGAGGGCTTTTAAAAACTCAAAATAGTGTATAACCACTAAGATAATGTATAAATATTATAGTATTTTAAGTAAAATCATATATTGAAGCATCACTACTCTGCGTTTTTCACCTAACGGCCGCCTTAAGTGAGGGATCACTGTGGCTGCTGTGGAAGCGTGTGGATGCAGGCTAAATGGCGTCACACTGGACGGCTGGCTGGTTATTTTCCACGTTACTCACTGATCCCTGACGAGAGCATCACTGGCGTTTGCAGGAGAACAGACAGGACAGAGTGTTTGTGAGGGAGAAGCTGGAGGCTCAGAGCTAAGCGAGGGGGCAGGAGGGAGTGGGCGCTCACCAGGCTGAAGAGTCTGGACAGCGTGCTTTGGTCCCTGCGTCTCCGGACCGGCGACTTTGTGCTCTCGGCACGCGACGACGAGGCCTAGAAAAAGATGCTCCATGAGCCCACGCAGACCCCAAACCGGAGCCTGTCCTGCTCAGCCTCTGGCTGACCTTCAGCTTTACACTTATTTTACACATTGTACAGCTGATCAGAGGCGTCTCCAGGTTTAATATCAGGGGGATTCAGCCCCTGATCAGGTCTGGAACCAGCTCCAGAAACCTGGTTCTGGTCCTCTAAAGCCTCAGAGCTGCAGGGGGAAACCTAAGTGATGGAGGTCAGTTTGATAAATAAGTCCTGAAATGGAGAAATTACTCATTATATTATAGTTAAACTAAGCTTTTTGCAATGTTTGTTCATTAATGTGCTGAATATCCACCAATTAAATGACCCCAGAGGGTCAGCTTCTCCCCTATTGGTCAGTAAACAGGAAGTAGAAGGACCTGTCCTGCTGACTGACCAGTAAAAACCTGGTTCTGCTCCTCTAGAGCCTCAGAGCTGCTAAATGATACAGAGTTCCCCTAAGTGACAGCAGATCTGTTAAAGTCTGGATGCTTTTAATGAAGCTCTGACCCTAAAATGGACACTTTGAGCTCCCAGACATCAGATTTAACCCCTGTGAGCTCTGAGGCTCCTTTCTGAGCCCAGATCCTTTTTCCTCTGCTCAGTTTAAGCTGAACATTCACAGAGGAATTTTCAGGAACTCTGTCCCTCAGAACTGAGGAATCATTTTATTAAACTGACCTCTGCTTCTGGAAAAAAGAAGATTACACATCAGAAAAAGGAGAAAAACAGGAATATTTAGTTTTTTTCTCCCAAAATGTCCCCAAAACTGCCGAATCTCTGAGCTGGCAGCAGAAATCTGCTGATGTCTGGATCCACAGACATCAGCAGGACGACCGAGCAGACAGAGCCCCGCTGGAGTCTGAATTCAGGGAAATGAAGGAGTTTTTAAGGGACTTCTACTCATTTTAGGCTGAAGCCTCCCTAATACAGGCCACTGCCACCAACAAGCTAAAAACATCAAACGTTTTATCAGAAAGCTCACAGTCTAAACAGATACTATCCGTGTTTTTTATCCGTTCTCTTTAAATGCATTTTGGTACGTTTATCTATGTTGGCAGCAGGTCAAAATTCTCTTGTGGACCGTTAAAGGAAATCGAGGGGAGTTCTGTGACAATAAAACTCTTTAATATAGTTTCAGTGTCCTAAACCCTGTAAAAAGCATCAGACTTTTTTGCTTTTAAGCTGCAGGATTCGGTTTCTCTGCAGATAGAAGAAGCTGCAGGTGGTGAAGGAAACATTCAGACGTGGAAGATGGAAAACAGGAAAGTGTGACAGTCGTTTAAAGGCAACCTTTAAGGGGCAGAAAAAAAGGGCCGAGGAGGAGGAGACGAGGTCCACGGGGAGCAGGCCAACACCGGGGGGGGGGGGGGGGGATGACGAAAAAAGGGTACTCCGCAACAACGAGAGGGGGGGGGGGGGGAGGGAGGGGGGGGGTATAGAGGAAAAGGGGGGGGGGGGGGGGCAGGCCTGGAGCTCCTGAGAGGAAATGTTTACCGGTTCATAAACAGCCGAGCAGTTTCAAAGTCATCCAGGAGCAGAGAGCCGCTCTGGACGGGAGCAGAAGGGGAATTAAAGGTGATTAAAGCAGCCAGCGAGCAGCAGGATCTCTGTGAATAAGCTCTCACACATAGACCACAGAGGGGGGGGGGGGGGCAGAGAACAGGAAGCTGAGACCTACCAAACCCAAGACGTCCCTCCACTGGACATGAAACAGAAAGACCACAGAACAGTCAGAGCTGGCTCCTCTGAGCCCCCAGGCTCATTTTCAAACTTCCGCTTTAAACATCTTAAGTTTCCAGATTAAGCAGCTGTTTAAATCCACCAAAAAAACACAAACCTGTGAACTAACTGAGTTAAAATGCTGCTTAACAGCAGGATTTGCCTTTAGTTTGGACATCAGTTCCTCTAAATGCTGATAAAAAGCTCCAGAAGTATCAGCGGGGTTCTTATAAAAGCCACAAAACATGATGAAATACGACGGATCATGAAGACTTTCACCTTTAATTTGACCAAATAGCTTCCAGGGACTCATCTGATCCTGTTTATTGATTTATTTATCATTTTGAATTACACGTTTCTTTACATTTAATGTTATGTTTACTTTGAATTGCATGTAAATAGAATTAAATGTTTTATTATTAGGCCAATGGATTCGATTTTGTGTAATTTTCTGATACTTTATGGTGATTAAAATAAAGCAGTATTTGTTGAATTGAATGAATTTCTTGTTAAGAGACCAAAAACAGACAGTGTGTGGCTGCTTTCTCTGTTGGTGCAGTTTGATCATTCTGCCAGCAGAGGGCGCCAGAGTGTCACCCTGACAGCACTTAAACGACCTGAAAGCATCTGGAAAATCAACAGAACAGCTGTGGACTCACCCTGGATTTAGGAGGAGGAGAGGAAACCTGCAAGAGAGACACCAAGAGTGACTGATTGCTCTGGAAAAAAGCGACAAAATGACATCGGAGCGACTGATTGTTCAGGAAAAAGACGGCAAAATTACACCAGAGTGACTGATTGTCCAGGAAAAAGAGCACAAAGGGGGTGAGACAGGTAGGACAGGTGGAATGGGTGAGAGGGGGCAACACTCACGATGGTCCTGAAGAAGTGCACCACGGCGTTTTCGTTGGGCCGGCGGCGAGCGGAAGACTGCTGGGGCGAGGAGGCCAGGTGACCCCTGAAGGAGCCCTGAGGAGGAAAAGAGCCCAGAGAGTCCAGATGAGCAGAGAAACAACAGAAACCAGTTCTCTGACCAGTTTCCCCTCCTGATTTCCTGTTCTGATGGAGGACGCTGCATTTCTGCCTCTCCATTCCAGGATCCTTTGACTTTTGACCTCATAGCAGGCGCTATCAGACACTACTGTTTGAAAACTAAATCAGCTTTTATAGGCCTTTAGATTTAAAAAAAGCAGTAAAAGCTGACATTTCTGACCTCTTTGAACACAACAATGATTTTCCTTCATCTAAAGGAAAATGCTTTTAAACATTTTACACCAATCATGTTCTTATTGTGGAAAAATGTTGTAAATAAGTCATTTGGACCTCAGAAACAAATTTAATTAAATCTCTAAACAGACGTTTTAAATCTAAAGATAAACCCACTGAGCCTCTATGAAGAAAAAATACCTGAACCAGGACAAAGTCTAGTTATTATTATCTAGGGGGGATCTCCAGAATTAGGCTTCAGGTCTGAAAAAACAGGATGAAAATCCCATAACTATAAAGTTCTGAGGATTTTATCAGGAACTCACATCAAATCAAATCTACCTGCTGGCAAACCTGATGGGAAACATGAGACCTGCTCAAAGACTCTGAAAATGAACTTAAAACGTCTGAAAACGTTTGCATCAGATAGAAAGATTTACAGAGTTGCTCTTGATTTGAATGAGCTGATATCATCTTAGTTTGGGCTTTTCTGGAAGCTGCCAGGAAAAGTAGAAATCTGCCCTTTTGGATTAATTATTTATTAATTTTTCTCCGGTTCCACATGAAACAAAAACAGAGAAACCGTAACTTCCACTAATTAAGTGGAAAATCAGAGATAATTCTGAAGGGAAAAAGTTTAAATTTGAGATATTCTGATTCATTATTATTGTTTTATCTGATTCCTAAATTAATTAGTGGGATTATTTCAGCTTCTTGTAAAAAAAGTTGACGTCTTTCCATCATTTTAGAGTAAAATCAGCTCCTATTATCAGAGGATTCCTCAACAAATTGAGCAGTGAGACATTTAAGCCTCATTTTGTCCTCTCAGGTTAAACTGAGTCTATTTTGCTCTGAAATCAACCTGTTTCCAGCTCCTGAACTCATGTTTCCATTTCTGTCTGTAATATCTGCTGGAGCAGAGCTCATTTAGTGGAAATCAGAGCTGGTTCTGAAGGCAGAAAGCAGAAAGTGTGAGTAGTTTCCTCTCTGGTTCTGGTCAGAGCCTCACAGTTGGATGGAAAACCTGCTGAGCTGATCAGGATGCTGATCTGAAGCATTTCAGGGGTTTGAATGGCAGCAAACAGTCCAGCTGTTGTCCTCCAGCTCAGAGTGGCTGTTTTCTAAAGCAGGAAGTCTAAAAGTATCCACAGCTCTGAGTTCCAGCTTTTAGTCAACTGGTTTCAGCACATCAGCACAAAGTTTCCTTCATTTCTGGATGCTGGAAAAGAGCTCATTTCCAGGAAATGAAGCCTCATTCTGGAGTAAAACCAGCAGAGCTCTGAGTTCTCTGGACTCTAGTTTGGATCAGAGGCTCAGATGTTGATGTAAGATCACAGAAAGGTTTCTGTCAGAGTTTAACCAGCAGAGCAGGAAGCATCCAGCTGCTTTCAGACCCAAACAGGAGAAAAAAACCCGTCTCTGGAAGCTGCTCACGCTCACCTTGCTCCTCTTCTTCTTGTCTCCTCCAAAGAACTTGCTGATCTGGTCCATGAGTCCGGGGCTCTTCTTCTTCCTGCCGAGCCCGAAGCCGCTCTGTCCTGATGTGCTCGCCGTTGCCATGACCGCTGCTCTGTGCTGGGACGCTGCTCCTTCGGATCCCGTCTGGGGCTTTGAAGGTGTCACCACCACGGGACAGGGTGTCGTGGGGGGGGGGGGGGGGGGGTTTTTGGCTTTTCCCCCCCTCTTTCGGGGGGCTTTAGAGGGGGTCCCCCCCCCCCCCCCCACGGGCCGGCCCTTTGCCCCCCCCCCCCAGCGGCCCCACAACAAGGCTCATCTCTGAGGGTGAACTCACAGCCTGATGCAAAATCCCCCCCCCAGCCAACGGCACTGAGGGGCATTTGTTGGCTCGCCCTCGGCTGTCTTCTCTGGGCATTGTGGGTAAACTGGCCCTGCGGCCACCCTGGTGACCGCACGCCGTAAAAGAAACCGCAGCAACACAAGAATGGGAAGAAACTTTAGATAAAATCACACGAGAAAACATTTGGAAAACAATGAATAACCAACCAATCCAATGAATATCCAACTCATCATATAAATAACCAACTCATCCAATAAATGACCAACTTATCCAATAAATAACCAACTCATCCAATAAATAACCAACTCATCCAAT